TGCCCTTATTATTTTATTTCTCTTCGGGGATACTCATTATCCAGATGTTTCCAGTATCTAGTATTTCTCCCATATTGTCCTCATTTTTCTTGGTTGTTTTTTCAGTCTTTATAATTTTTTCTAGGTCAGAGGTTTTATTCTTCTGCATTTGAGATTCAATATTCTGCATGATTTAATATACTTTTAATATTTTTTAGGGATATTTTAATTTCCTGTATCCCATTCTTCATCTCTAACTGCTGTGTTTGATTCTTTTTTTTTTTTCTTTTTGGAGAGGTTTTTGCCATAGGGCGCATGCACTCGCCAGACAAGACAGAAAGCGAGAAATCACCCCCCAGGGGGATGACCACACCACAATTCCTTCTCCATTCTCCTCTCGGGATCTTGGGCATGCACGCACACACTCCCAGCGTGAGTTTAAGCCACCGGGTCTGGGACGCGAACCACGGTCAACTACATGGGAGTCCAGCGACATAGCCATTACGCTAACTGTTGATCCCTCTTGCATCTCATTTAGTTTGGTCACTACAAACATTCTGAATTGTTTATCTGACATTTCCACAAGTTCTAGTGTGTTGTCTGTGGGTGATGAGGAATTGATGTTTTCCACTGGGGGAGAGACATTTTGTTGGTTGCTCTTATTTCTTGTGCCTCTGTGATGGTTTCTAGAAGTCTGGTCATCTATGTGTTCCTTCCTAAATTACTCAAGGTATCTCAGAGTGTTCAAAGGTGTGCAGGAGTAGGCAATTGGTGATCTCTTTTCTGCTCTGCCTCCTCGTTGCTCACCAGCACCTTGCACTGTTGTCACTGGTCCTTGGTGACCCAAAGACTTCATTGTTTCTAGAGAACAGGTACACCTGAAACTGAGCTGCTGAGCTTCAACTCAGTAACAAAGATGAAATCGCACATGGGCTAAACAAAAAAATGGAAGTCTTGAGAGTTCAAAGGCAAGTGGGGGAGGGGATGAGCCACATGTCCCAGTTGTTAAGCCCTCCAGCCCCAGGCTGCATGCCGTTCAGCAAGGCCCTTCACTGGAACAGGTGTCCAGATGGGGTGGGAGGGGTTCAAGTTTGTCTCAAAGTTCCAAGAAACAAATCTGAGAATCCAAATGGGAGTGGGGAAGGGGATGAGCCAAAGGTTTCAGCCATTAAGCCTCCAGCCACAGGTGTCCTGCCATCCGGCAAGGCCTTTCACTCCAGAGGTTTTGTCTTCTAGATCCGAGATGTTATCTTCTACATGATCTAACCTGCTTTTAATATTTTAAAAGAATTATTTTATTTAAGATTTTTATTTACTTACTTTAGTTTGACCAGAGAGGGACAGAGTGAAAGCGAGAAAGAGAGAAGGAAAGTGAGAAAGCAAGCTGCCAGGTCCGGAACTCAAACCCCAGTTGGCCATGTGTAAATCCAGTGCCCTTAACCACCACACCAAATGTCAGCCCCTACTTTTAGTACTTTTAAGAGACGTTTTGATCTCCTGCACTACAGCCTTCAAATCTATAAATTGTTTGATTCTTATATTGTCTATCTCCTCTCACAATTCATGAAAGGACCTCATCTTCTGAATTTCAATGTCTTTCTTTTCTTGTGAGTACAGGATTTTATCACCATAAATCTGAATTCTCTCTCTGACCTTTTGGTAATTTTTCCATACCTGAAGATAAATCACTGTTCCCTTGTTGAAGAAGTATTACTTGGCTCTCTCATCTTTGAGGCTCTTCTCTGATTGTTAGTCACTTGGTAACGTATTCACTTTTGGCATATTTGTTGGAGGTTTCTGCAACTGTGAGCTCTGGTGTTTTCCATTACTGTGATGTACCTCTGTGCCAATTTTTTTGTACTACTATGTTTTTCAACAATGGTGCCCACAGGAGATGACTGAGTTTAGATTTATAAAGGGGAGTTTCTCCCTTTTTGCAGCAGGTTCAGTGGGAGGTAAGGATTTATCTGAGCCTCACAATATTCAGATGTTTGGCTACTAGGCACCTAGATCTATGACAGTGGGTGGAGGCTGAGCAGCAAAATAAGAAAGTAAGGTAAAAGAAAAAGAGAACCAAAAAAAGAAAGAAAAAAAAAAGAGAAAAACATTAACAGGTGAAAACAAACAAAAAAAGAAACACACACACACATACACACACACACACACACACACACACACACACAAATAAAAACCATGCTATGTGCTTGGGTGCCATGCAAAATGGTCAGGGTGTGCCTCTGATGGAGATGTCTTCTGAAAAGGCCTGCAATTCCCCTGTCCTATACGGGGAAAAGAGAGGAAAATTACTGAGACAGGAACAGGAAAAAAATTTTTTTTATCTGAGAGAAAAAAAAGAAAAGAAAAAAGAGAGAATTTCCTCTACCTTTCTAGTTTTTTGGCTGTGGAAGGAGAGAGGCATTGGCTGAAGGCTTGTCAGCAGCTGGTCTCTTAAATGGGCAGGGAGCACCTCAGATGGAGATGCCTTCTGAAAAGGCCTGCCAAGTCACCTGTCATTTCTAGCTTTTCAGGTCTGGAAAGATAGGGGACCAGCTGGGAGCTTCTCAGCAGTGACAGTAGTCCCTGAAATAGGCAGGGCATGCCTCAGATAGAAATGCCTTCTCAAAATGCCTGCAAGTCTCCTGTTCTATATATCTGTGTAATTCCATGCAAGTATAAATTGACTGAAGGGGAAGCACTTCGGATTCATATTGCTGCTTCCAGTAATCTGGTCCAGCAGTGTCACTGCATTGAGCATTCCTTTTAAAGATGAAGAGGTTTAGAGTAAAATCAATAACAAAGAAGAAAAACATAGTAGTTGAAAGTAAAGAACTAATAAATAGGTTATGCAATGAGTGAAATCCAACATTACATTGGTTCCTCAAGAGACGCTAAGAGGAGAATAATATTCTCTCTTAGCACAATTATACAAGATGACCAGCGGTTGAAATCCTATGTTTACCTGGGTCACCCTCACTTTTGGACCTTGATGAGGTCAAATGAAAGCCTACAAACATGAATGGTATGCTGGAAGGCATCCTGGTCATGTTATGAATGGGATCAACTATTGATAACTGACTGAATGGAACCGTAGTAATTCATCAGAATCTTTTTTTTTTTTTTCATTTTTAAAGAAAAATTTGCCAGAAGGCACATGTGCTCACCAGAGACAGAGAAAGGGAAAATGAGAAAGCAGCTACCATGGGGGATAAGAAAATGAGAAAGCAGCCACCACAATCCCTTCCCCATTTCTCCCATCTTTTAGAATTTTAAGCATGCACACACACAATGCCCAGTATGTTTTTCAAGCTACCAGGTCCAGGACTGGAACTACACTGTCAGCCGTGTGGGATCTAGCTGCTTTTAACCACCATGTCAGTGGCTGGCCTCATCAGTATCTTTTTATTCTTAAATTTTAGGTTACATTTACTAGAAGTATTATCGCTTGGGAAGAAACTTTCAGGAATTACTCCCTGCTGAATCATACTCCCATGCAGTACACGAATAATAGAATGATCACTGTATAACTATAAACTTTGATTACTAAATAATTAGAAAGGTTCTTGGTTACTTAAACAGAATCTAGCAGCTGTATAGCTGTGATGCCAGTGTGCTATATATAAATAGAAAACACTGCTGTTTCTGTGGTTGTGACATTTTTGCATAGAAAAACATGTCATGACTTTTCCGATGACCCAATACTTAACTGAGAAGTATAAATAAGAATTTCAGTAAGAACCTGAAAGCAACATTTGCCATGAAAGAAATATGGGCAGTCTATCAATCTCGGTTTATTACATGACAGTCTTCAAAAATTAAGGGAAAACTAGTAAAGTTCTTCTAGTATGCTAGTCTCAAAGGGAAAAATAATCCATTCTATACTAACTAGGTTTCCTTCCTCTTCTACAATATTTGCTAATGTTCATTGGCTTTGGTTCTTTTCATTAGCTTTTGTTCTTTTTAAGACTGCCTTCTGTTCTTTGTGTTTTTGAACAGAGGTCTACAACAGCTGCCTCTGGGACCATGAGAAAATAATTAGTCAAGTAATCAGACAGCCACTATTGTTAAAATATTTTAATACCAATGTAAAATGAGATCAGGGTTGTACAAGCAGATTTCAGAACATAAACAATTGATTTCTAAAACAGTTTCTTTCCCTCTCAGAAGCCTAAATATAGATACATATAAAACAAATTTTTTAAAAATGTGTTATTTTTTTCCAGTTTAATACATCCACAGTTTACAAACATGCAAAATAACTATTTTCCAAATCAAAGGCCTCTAGTAGAAACATTCAAATTAAACATGAATCATTTTAATTTACTCATTGGCTGTTTAATTCCGCAAGAAACCAGTTTCTCCCACACCTCAGAAAAATCACCAATTCCTTTCTATAGGATTGATGTATTAGCAGTACTTAGCTCTTCCCTTGTCAGCATCCAGACATCCCTGGTTCAGTCTATGTAAGTTGCTATAGTTCCAGTTATTGAAAATGCCCCACCATCTTCTTCATTCCAGCTTGGCAAAGCACCTACTAACAATGCACAGTTTGGAAAATGAGCCATGAAGAACACAACGATCTGACTAAAAAGGTAACCATACATCCTGAGTCTGCCAATTGAGTGAGGATATTAATGGAAATGTAAAATTCTAAGAGGCATTCTTATTTTCTCCTCTCCAAGTTACCAGTATTTACAGTATGAGGAAGTAAAGAGTAGAGAAAGGTGACAACAGTCCCATACATGAAACCTCCCTAGAGCTAAAAGTAAACTAAACAAAGTGCAAACTATAGTGGATCAAATAACTGACTCTCATTTGGGTTTTATTTGTGGCTGTAAGCAACCTCCAAACTAAGAGGTCCATAAATTAGGTAATAATTTCAATATACCAAGGGTTCGACAACTTGCATTAGCATATTATTAATATTTCCATCTTTTCTAAGAGCTTGTTCCGCTTCATTGTTAAACTGAGTGTCGATAGTCAAGAAATGACCAAATAAAATAATTTCAAATATTTCCTTTTTACTGTACCCACTTCAATTAAAAAGGATCTTTCATGCATTTTTCTCTGCCATTCATCAAGCAACTTAGTGAAACAAGGAGAAACTCAAAACATAACTGTAATATTACACAAGATAATTCATTTTCCTCCAGTAACTTAGTCTGTTCCAAAGTATTTCTGTCCAAAATGTGTAGGTGCAACAGGATGAACTTCAGTAGTTAAAATTGTGATCTCTGGAAACTCTTGAATGATTGATTTGGCACCTTCAAAACATAAAAGAAAAATTATTATGGCAGGATATTTTTATAACACTAGTTGGAATTCAGGAATGTTATTGTCACTATGTTTAATATTGACAGAGGACATAGAACAATAACCTTTGGATATGTAATTGGACCTAGTTAAGTCTCTTCATTTATATTGGGGTCGTCACAAAGTTATGGTGCATTTTTGCATAGAAAAACATGTCATGAATTTTTCGATGACCTAATATAATGGCTAATATGTGAAAACTTTAATAGTAGTCAGACTACATTCTCATCTTCTCACAAATACATTCTTAGAATGAAATTGTTTTAGGGACCAGCAGTTGGCATAATGGCTATGTCACTGGGCTACCACGTAGTTGACTGCGGTTCGAGTCCTGGACCCGGCGGCTTAAACTCATGCCAGGCATGTGTGCGTACATGCCCAAGATCCCAAGAGGAGAATGGAGGAGAAGGGATTGCGGCGTGGCCATCCCCCCAGGGAGTGATTTCTTGCTTTCTGTCTCTCTGTCATTCTGGCGAGTGCACATGCCCTATAGCAAAAACCTCTCCAAAAAAAAAAGAAAAAAAAGAATGAAATTGTTTTATAGCTAAGATTTTAAAACTATAATTGTTTAGTTATTCAGTTCAATTATTCCCCTGGAGAGTCTTTTATTTTATAGGCAGCTAGGACAGAGTGAATAAAATCTTTCTTCCAAAAAGAATGAAACTAAATGATGGTTTCCCAACTGGAATACTGTGAAACAAGTACAAAGACTTTGTTTTTTGTTTTTTGTTTTTTCCAGAGCAAGCTAGCCTTTTAGAAATTATGACTCTAGCTTTGGGAGAGGAGGATAAACAGGGAAAGGAATTAGGACTGGCTAGGATCCTAGTCAAAGTAAAAAGTCATAGCAATGCCACCACAAAATAAGATAATTTTCAGCTATGATGTCAAAAAATAGTATATTATTCTCATATTTACTATTACAACTAGAGATCATTTTTATACCCTCAAAGGCAGAAATCTCAATAAGCCAGATTATTTCAATGTCTTCAATGTCATCTGTGTTATATATAAGTGGATGACCAATCGAATCACCCTTTGTCACCATCATTTGAACTACTTGGATATGAAAAAGCAAAGTAATCAAACTGGTTACAATTTCTATATAATAGCCTACTGAAAACAGCCTTCCCCACTAGATAACTTCTAGTCTCTTCAGGATTGGATGAGACTTAGAGCCTATCACTCTGAAATGTAGCTTCTAAAAAAGTCATGTATATTTCTCTTTCTTTTCAGTAATGAAGCAAATATGAATTCTTTGTAGAATATAAACAAAAAAGCTTAAACATAAATAAAATAAATATATCTTAGAATCTCAGCATCCTAACCATGATTAATGCTGCATGTATATTTTGAAACCAAAAATGAAATAATACTGTGTTTCTGTGTAGCCTCCCATGCTGAGGAAAGATTTAGTAAATTCTACATTAAATTCAAGTCTGATTTTGGTAGTTAAAATACTCATAATTTGTACTGGTTATCTCTAAGCTTGGTGATAATTTGAGAGGTCTTCAAAAAGCTCATGGAAACATGTGTATTATAAAAAAAAAAACTATGCATGCATTTCAAAGGAAATTTATACCAAATAGACTCATACTTTAATTCTATTGTTTCTTGAACTTGTTTTGAGGTACCCATGTATTATATACTATTCTAATGATGTTAATTTTATGTACATTTATGTATGTGTGATATCATTAAATTTTTTCAAAAAATGTAATGTAACAGTTATATGATATAGTCTTTGCATATGTATTAACTTTCCAAGTCTCAGATATCTATTAATCAGTGTGAACACAAACACATCAACATGATTTCACGTATTTCAGGAAGACATATTTTCTGGGTAAGTGGAAAATTGTGTGGATGGCTTCCAGAAGACCTTCATTCTTAGTATTTTTATAGTAAAACATTTCATTTAGAAGTCTGGATATTCATTCTTCACTTTCCTAAGTAATTCACACTACTGAATGAAATTTGTATTGACATTGACAATGGGATCTAATTTGTTCCAGAGTTCCAGGGTTATCCTTTCTATCCCAAATTATATCTAGATTGAACAATACCAAACACATGACACAGAGCATTGCTCCACTACCTCCGCCTCAGATAAACACAGAGGGGAATCAAGCTGAGATGCTTCTTGGCCTGACCAAAGATCTGGCAGAGCATGTTTGCAGTAGAGGACTCCGATCTGAAAGCAAACTGAATATATATTATTTATCTATTTCCTCATTGTTTATAATTTATATATGTTCATTTTTTTCTTATAGTACACAACTCTACAATAAACATTCAAGCAAAAATTCTACAAGTATCTATGATTATTTCCTTAGGATATGTTCCCAACTGTCCTAAATTATACAGCAAAAAAGCTAGGATCTTAAACTAAGTACACCCCCCTCAGAAAAAGAAGACACAGTTCTCTCACCATATCCTGTGAAAAGAATCTGACTTAAACCTCTTCAGTTCTTTGCTTCACACTGCAAAGCTTAATAAGATCCCAAAGCTAACTACTAGATTGTCAGAAAAATCATGACACATTTTTTCTTTCATAGAAAAATACATCATGACTTCAACATACTTCCGGTCTCTTACTGTTTACAAGTACTTCTCAGGCTCGAGGAGCCAGAGGAAACAGCCATTTGCAGGCTCCACCCAAACAAGGTCACTAATAATTACAGGCCAGCCATTGGCATGGTGATTGTGGTGGCTGGATCTCATATGGCCAACTACACAATTCAAATCCTGGACCCAGGGGCTTGAAAAACACATTGGGTGTGTGTCTGTGCATGCCCCAAACCCTGAAAGGAGGGAGAAATGAAGGTGAACGAATTGTGCAGTGACTATGCCCCATGGAGGAGTGCTTTCTTACTCACCCCTCCCCTTGTTCTCCATTCTCTCTATCTCTCTCTAGTGAGTGCAGGTACCCTCAGGCAAGTAAGAGAGAAAGAAAGGGAGGGAAGGAGGAAGGAAGGGAGAGAAGAGGGGAGACAGGGAGAGAGGGAAGGAAGAAAGGAAGGAAGGAAGGAAGGAAGGAAGGAAGGAAGGGAGGGAGGGAGGGAGGGAGAGAAATGCAATTTTTTTCAATGGGGTTCATTCGTACTTCTCCATTTGAATTTGAACACTAGAATGGTGTAAAATACTATCACTAAGAGATGACAAAAACAAGTTATAACTACCACAATCAGATTTAGCTTTAATGTGAAAGCAAACTTTTCCTCAGGATGAAAGGCTAGACAGATGCATACTTACCCATCTCATGACATCTGGTGCCCCAGTAACTGCCTCATGCTGAACTCACCATGAGGAGTGGAGAACAGACTGAGTAGGATGATAACACTGGGCTGAACTCCATGTTCTATAAGAACTTTTACAGCTTCAATTACAGTATTTCCAGTGCCTGAAATCAAAAGACAACCAAATGTACTAGCAATGTTAACATTTATTTCAGAGTTGATTTTAAGTGTCTTTGAAAGAAAGGGCAATATATTAATCATAATCTAAAATAAAATTTCATTAGATAAAGCTTCATTTGAAGGTGTTTGTTCCTTATCAATGTTATTTTCAATAATGGACATGACACGTTTACTTTTTAGTGATCAAATGCACAATAAGCCCTTAATTCATTTAATATCTGAGATAACAAATTCAACATAAAACCCCTGTCTCTCCAGAGGACTCTCCATGTGTGATCTGAGTAAACTTAGGAAAACAAACAGAATAGTAGGAAAAAATTACCTCCAGAGAAGATAAATCCTTGGGGGAAAAAAAGCACTGCTGTTCTCATTAGGATAGAAAGGGGAAATACCTTAGTGTATTTTCTGTGTTCTCTATATTTTGTCTCACTAGATCTTTTGCTTCAATGTGTTTATCTCAAGACTAAAGCTCTTTGGAGCTAAAAAAAACATTTGATTAATGTCTATTTTCTTATTACACAATAAAAATCCCTTGGTGAACTGCCAAGAACAACTCCAAATCCAACCAATGAAAACACATTTAGAAATGGTTTTTTGCCTTTCAGGGAAAGGTATTTAATAGGCAAGCACTAGGTTGCAGTTAACTCTAACTAAAGGTTACAAATTAATCTCAAGCCACTCACTGAGAATTGGATACATCAGAAGTACTTTTCTCCGATAAATGTCGGGGGGGAACTTGGCATAATAGACTTTGGCTCTTTGTGTCTCCTCATCACTCTGAATCAAGATCTTTCCAATACTTGATGGAAAGGTATTTAATAGGCAAGCACTAGGTTGCAGTTAACTCTAACTAAAGGTTACAAATTAATCTCAAGCCACTCACTGAGAATTGGATACATCAGAAGTACTTTTCTCCGATAAATGTCGGGGGGGAACTTGGCATAATAGACTTTGGCTCTTTGTGTCTCCTCATCACTCTGAATCAAGATCTTTCCAATACGTATAGATCGACAACAGTCTCGTAAGCCTTGTTCCATTGCCTCACCTTGAAGAAGAAAATTTAAAAAAAGAGAGAGAAAAAGGGGATGGGGAGATAGTGTGTAAGCCCAAGAACAACACAGAGTAGAGAGTTTGTGATTATGTAATTTCCCCTCATCTGAGGTTTGGATTTCTGTTGTTTCAGTTACTAGCACTCTGAAAATAGTACATTGAAAATTCAGAAATAAACAATTCATAAGCGCTAAATCAAAATTATTCACCTCACTACTTTATCTTATCACATAGATATTTTATCATTTCATATGATCACAGAAAAAGGGTGAACACAGTACAATAATTTTTTTTAAGGTTTTTGCTATAGGGTATGTGCATTCCATGGAGAGACGGAGAGAGGAAAGGTGAGAAATTATAGTCTGAGAGGGATGGCCAAGTCACAATCCTCCTCCATTCTCTTCCTGGGATTTGGGGCACACATACACACATGCCCAGCATGAGTTTCAAGTCTCTAGGTCTGGGACTCAAACCATGGTCAGCCATGTGGAAGTCCAGCACCTTAACCATTATACCACCTACTGCATCCCTTCTCCAAGGGTTTCTTAACATGGAGATTCTTTTTGAGTCCAAATTATTTTAAGAAAGTATTTGACAAAAGTCACTCATTCTCATACAATCTTTAAGATTTTAAGTCATATAAGAATTCTATCTAGGATTGGGAACCAGCAGTTAGCGTAATGGCTATGCTGCTGGACTCCCATGTAGTCAACCACGGTTTGCGTCTCGGACCCAGTGGCTTAAAACTCACGCTGGGCACGTGTGTGTGCGTGCCCAATATCCCGAGAGGAGAATGGAGGAGAAGGGATTGCGGCGTGACCATCCCCCCGGGGGGTGATTTCTCGCTTTCTGTCTCTCTGTCTCTCTCTGTCTGTCTGGCGAGCGCACGCACATGCTGGGTAAAGTCCCTTCACAATCTAAATGATGTATAGTGATTTAATGTATGAATAATAATAAAAAAATATATAAATAAAAAAAGAATTATATCAAGGGACCAGCAGTTGGCGTAATAGCTATGTCACTGGACATAATGTATGAATAATAATAAAAAATATATAAATAAAAAAAATTCTATCAAGGCACAGCAGTTGGTGTAATAACTATGTCACTGGACTCCCATGTAGTCGACCATGGTTCAAGTCCCTGACCTGGCGGCTTAACGCATGCCAGGCATGTGTGCATGCATGCCCAGGATTCTAAGAGGAGAGTGGGGGAGAAGGGACTGTGGCATGGCCATTCTCCCTGGGGGGTGATTTCTCACTTTCTGTCTCTCTGTCTTTCTCTGTGTTTCTGGAAAGCACATGCACCCTATAGCAAGAACCTCTCAAAAAAAAATCTACTAATACTGGTATTTACTTATTTAAAAAAATAACTGTTCTCATTTAAATTTATTTTAATAGGAAACTGCACATCACTAGTACAAATGCAAAACCAGTTTCTGTCTAATAAATACCAAATCAACTCTGTACATCACTCCCAAGTCATCTGGTACTCAATAAAAATGCAAGGACCACCACGATGGTCTTTTAGAAAAAGAACTGGACTAAAACACAAGAAACTATGCCTTACAGTCTATTGTCAGGGAGTAGGAGGTGTATGGTGGTTAGGGCACTGGACTCCCACATGGCCAACGATGGTCTGAGTCCCAGACCTGGCAGTTTTCTTTCCTTCTCTCTTTTGGTGAGTACATGTACCCTACTGAATATTAAAAATAATAATAATAAATTAAATAAATAATTTTTAAGAGTCTATTTTTAGGTCAGCCAGTGGCATGGTGCTTAAGGTAGCTGGATCCCATACAGCTGACTGCATAGTTCAAGTACCAGATACAACAGCTTGAAAAACATGCCTGGTGCACGTGCATGCATGCCCAAAATCCCAAAAGGAGGGGAAAATGAAGAAAAAAGGGGTTACAGCAAGACGATGCCTCATGGCAGGTACTTTGTCACTTTCTCTTTCTCTCTGTTCCTCTCTAGCAAGCACATGCACCCTCTGATAAAACTTTTTTAAAAGTCCATTGCTGGGTCCGGCAAGTGGCATGGTGGTTAAAGGCGCTGGACTCCCACATGGCCAACCACGGTTCAAGTCTTGGACCTGGTGGCTTGCTTTCTCCTTTCCTCTCTCTCTCTCTGATCAAACTGGAAAATAATAATGATAATAATAATAAATAAAGTTAAAACAAAATAATTCTTTAAAAAAAAAAAGTCCATTGCCTTTACCAATTTAAAAAAATTGAACAATATAATCCTGAGAATGCTATCACTACTTAAGAGCTACCGTCTATAATAAAGGGACTTTAAAACATCTAATTATTTAACTGTTTACAAACTGAACTCCATAGCCAGAGGAGAAAAGTGAGTTTTTCGTATGTCAAAAAAAATAGTAATCCTAGGGGAACCAGCAGTTAGAGTAATGGCTATGTCACTGGATTCCCACATAGTTGACCGCGGTTTGCGTCCCAGACCCGGTGGCTTAGAACTCATGCCAGGAGCGTGTGTGTGCGTGCCCAAGATCCCGAGAGGAGAATGGAGGAGAAGGGATTGCGGCGTGACCATCCCCCCTGGGGGGGGATTTCTCGCTTTCTGTCTCTATGTCTCTCTCTGTCTGGCTAGCGCAAACCCTCAAAAAAAAAAAGCTAAAAAAAAATAATAATCCTTTCATTTCTGGTGAGAGTACAGTTTCCACTGCTTTAAAAAAAAAGTGATCTTGTATGAAAAATAATAAAGTTTTCTGAATGGAAATAATTATCCTCATTAACAGATGTAGGTTCTAATTGTAGGCATATGACTCTGTTGTACAAAGGTTGGTTTAAAATGGTAAGTTGGGGGACCAGCAGTTGGTGTAATGGCTATGTCACTGGACTCCCATGTAGTTGACTGTGGTTCAAGTTCCAGACCCAGTGGCTTAAACTCACGCCGGGTGTGTGTGCGTGCATGCCCAAGATCCTGAGAATAGAATGGAGGAGAAAGGATTGCAGCATGGCCATCCCCCCTGGGGGGTGATTTCTCACTTTCTGACTCTCTGTCTCTCTCTGTCTTTCTGGTGAGTGCACGCGCCCTATAGCAAAAACCTCTCCTAAATAAATAAATAAATAAATAGATAAATAAATAAATAAAATGGTAAGTTGGACTCAAACACAATTACAACATTTAGAAGACCACCAAATACAAATATCTAGATTTAATGCCAGTTAAGTGTTTTTGCCTATATAATCACATACATTAAATATTAAAATTTTAAATATTGAACAAGTCATTTAATCCAGCCCGTGGCAGAATAAGATTGTTTCCTACAACTGAAATAAAACACAAGTGAGACAAATATATTCTCTAGTGACATATTCAAAGTTCTGTAGGCCTAAATTTATACTATATTCCCTCACCCTTTAAACTGTCCTGTTCTCCCCAAGACAGCATCATTGCATTCTCTTACTCACTGCATCCTCCTATTCTTACACCTTCCCATGAATCTCTTTGAAAGCTAGCTTACATGGGGGCAGGCCACTAGGAAATATGCCCAGCAGTTCAAATTAGGAATATACAAGCCATGACTCTCCAAGGCACCATGAGGACAGACAACACAGGTGATGAGATTTAAGCAAAGGTAGAATGCAGTTATGATAGATAAATCCCCTTTTCTCTTGGAAAAACAGTACCATATCTATACATGTGAGGAGACAAAAACCACACATATGCAAACCTACCGCTTCTCATTATGCTGACCCCACAATTTCCCTTCTCAAATTTCACTCCTTCATACTTGTATCCTGTTGGGAAATAAAATCAAAGAATTTATCTTTCGTCATCAAAGCAACCTACTTATTTATAAAGTGCCTATAGTTTAAAGTAGATGGGTACAGAGTAATCTTTGTTCAAACACATTATTTAATACCTTAGATTCCCTGTGAAAGTAATTAGATCAGTCATGATTTTTCATAGTTACTGCTTAGTTATTCATAAGAAACCTGTAGGGATAATTGAGAGAGGCAGACTTCATCGGATGGGAATAGGACTTATTACAGAATGATATTCACATATGCGTTCCTGAAACTGACATCAAAGGAGAATCACTATGCTTCAAGAATGCGATATACCCCATAAGTTCAAACTTAGACCCCCATTGTGAGCTACAGCAGAAGGCCTCCTTGTTCTATTCCTTTTTGAGTCTCTCTTCTGCCTTAAAAGCTGAAGAAAGAGGCTGAAGTAGTTATAGATAATGTTCCACCCTTGGTCTCATCATAAATTTGGGTCAATTATGATGCAACAAGCTCAGATCCCAATCTCCATAAAGTCAACCCTTTGAAGAGAACAGTTTTGCATTATTTTCTAAAGAATTACATCAGAACTTCAAAACTCTCAAATAAGAATCTTTGACTTTTTTCTATTAAAGAGTAAAACAAAGCACCTTCTGCAATTCACACCATTTTTAGTTTTCTTTTTTTACTGTTCATCCTTTTTTTTTAACCTGGAATTAAAATGCAAAAGCAGCCTCACCTATTTGTTAATGACCAGCACCCTCCTCAGAAAAGTGAAGATAAATTGCCATCAATTTTTTTTTCCTATAGAATGTGTAGGCTCACAGGAGACAGAAAAAGTCAGAAAGGACCCCTATAACAGGATGGCCACAATGCAATCTCTTCTCTTCCACTGTCCTCTTGGAATATTGGACATGCACTTTGTCTGGGTGTTTGTCAAACTGCCAGACCTGGAACTTAAACCACAGCTGGCCATGTGGGATTCAGTCTCCTCAACCACATGCCACTGACTGGCCCAGCTGCCAGCAATTCTCAATTGTGGTCCCAATGGACTGTCATCAGAGGCAATACCTACATGCTGAAGAACACTTATTAACCTTTAACTTGAATTGACAAGCAGCATTAACGAAAAGTCACCTACACAGAATGGTTTACTAAATGTCTCAATTTCTTTAAAATGTTTAAAAAGAACAGCCCCACCTAGACCTAGACTCTGAATTTTGCATACTAATTTTATTCAGACTGTTTTCCTTCCATTTTACCCCATTCCAGCTCAGAATTTCTATGAGGAAAACTTGAAAATAACTGCCCTGTTTACCTGTTGGAGTGGTTACCATGCATTCTTTATATGGCAGCTGATTCAATCCCTCTTCCACAACAAGTCTGATCTAGAGAGTAAAAGGAAGAATAAGCTGAGAACCTGCTAAGAATCTCCTGTTAACTGTTAGCTTCATCAACTGAACAGTAGAAACAAAGTGAGTAGCACACTAAGCAAGAGTTCAGCTTATGAACATAGGAAGTGGACCCTTATCATATGTTAGATGCACGGATATATCCAAACATCAGACTGTTTGCTACTATGTATCCAAACTCAGCTAAGCATATGGTTGCCACCAAAAGGCTCCAGGAAATCTTCTGATTTTCATTCAATAAGTCCAGGTTATTAGAGATGCAAAACTCCAACAAATGACAAGACTCATGGCAGGAATCTTTGCCAGTAATATATTCTGGTTACTCTGAAAATAGTGCTCACTCAGAATTTCTCTGCCATGTTCAGTACCTATGAAACTTGTTAAATTGGATTACTTTTGGCAAAGGCCTACTATAATGCAAATAATTTTCTTGTGAGGAAATGAGAGTAGATGGGCTGAAACAATTTACTGAGCTTGAAGAAGAGGATCTAGTAGAATGCTTGGCACTTCTCGGTTTTTGGTTTTGTTGTTAAAAAAAGAGCTCATAACAATCATAATGTATGGCACAGAGAAAAGAATATCTCAGAACTACTAGGAACAGCCTCCCAAAACTAGATATGGTATTCCTATGAGCAACCAGAGCCTACCATAATAAAAGCAGCACTGGATCTACAAAGCACAGTTTTTCCAATCAATATTACATTACTGATTAAGAATCAGGAACAGCAGGAAGAAGCACCAGCTCACCCTCCCTCCATGCTCTGTCTTCACAACACGACCCCCTGCTGCCATTAAAAGAACAAATTCTATTCAATCTTTTTTCTCTCCTGATTTCCTCCCTAATAAAAATTTTAAAAATAAAAAAATAGAAAAATGAATTCTAAATGGACTAGCACTTTCTTAGCTTGCAGCATCATATAGGGTGCCTAGTAATGTAATGAACACTGTAAATGCACACACTCACCTCTAGCCACCACTTGCCATGGAGAGTTATATGAGCAAATTACAAGGGTAAAGAGAATTATTTTCTTTAAAGACTTTAGACTTCCTCCTCTTAGTAACACTCCTTTTAAGAGTCTTACCTCTCTTGGGGCTGGCAGATAGCATGGTGGTTAAAGGCGCTGGATTCTCACAAGGCCAACCGCAGTTCAAGTCCTGGACCTGGTGGCTTGCTTTCTCACTTTCCCTCTCTCTGTCTGTGTTTCTCTCTGATCAAACTGAAAAATAAGGGGCCAGCAGTTGGCATAACGGTTGTGTCGCTAGATTCCCATGTAGTCAAACATGCTTCAAGTCCCGGACTCAATGGCATAAACTCAAGCCGGGCACGTGTGCGTGCATGCCCAAGATCCTGAGAGGAGAATGGAGGAGAAGGGATTGCGGCCTGGTGTTTCCCCCCGGGCGCTGATTTCTTGCTTTCTGTCTCTTTGTCTCTCTCTGTCTTTCTGGCGAGCACATGCACCCTGGAGCAGAAACCTATCTCAAAAAAAGAAAAGCAAAACAAAACAAACAAACAAACAAAAAAAAACACCTGAAAAATAATATAATACTACTAAATAAAGTTAAATAAAAATAATTCCTTTAAAAAAAAAGTCTTACCTCTCACTCCATTCCCTGAAACCCCAGGGGCAGAATTTAGTATGTCCAAGTTTTACAAGAAAATATAAAACCAGAAGGGTAACCAAAATATTAAAAACTCAAGGATCTGAGGGCCAAGGAAGCCAACACTGAAAAATTCAAGATATAATTAATGACCACAATAATGAGACCCTCGGGAACCAGTAGTTAGCGTAATGGCTATGTCGCTGGACTCCCACATAGTTGACCGCGGTTCACGTCCGGGACCCGGTGGCTTAAAACTCACGCCAGGCGCGTGGCGAGCGCACACGCTCTATAGCAAAAATCTCTCCCCCCCAAAAAAAATGAGACCCTCATGCTGGAGTGGAGAACATACTAAAAATTATCTACAATAGAAACTTAAACAGTTCCAGTTCCTGCTACAACCACAACAGACCCTCTCCTACCCCATATCAGACCCTTCAAAGTCAACTGCATAGAACAGAGGTCTGAATTGAGAGAAGTTCCAATTGCCATTCCCTCATGTGAATTACGCCATAGGCCTTATTATCACTTCTGGCTAAGATTTAAGTCCTGCTCTTTCAAGAATCTTTTTACAATAACCATGAAATTAAATCTTACAGTCTCTAGAAAAATAGAATAAGTAAAGAAAAAAAAAAGGAAAAAGGTACCATGTTCTTCCAGTAAACACCGAGCTCCCCAGTTCTCTCCACTGCAGCCATTAAGATGCAAGTTCCAGGACCAGCAGTTGGTGTAATGGGTATGTCGCTGGACTCCCATGTAGTCGCGACAGCGGTTCGAGTCCCGGATCCGGTGGCTTAAACTCACGCTGGATGCATGTGCATGCATGCCAAGATCCAGGAGGAGAATGGAGAAGAGACTGCAGCATGGCCATCCCCCCAGGGGGGTGATTTCTCACTTTCTGTCTCTCTCTGTCTCTGTCTCTCTGGTGAGCACATGCCCACTATAGCAAAAACCTCTCAAAAAAAAAAGATGCAAGTTCCTTCAAACCCATTCTTTTGGTTTGATAAAAGAATAAAAGACAAAATGACCTAACCATTGCTCCAGGAATGTCAACCATATTTATTTTAGTGCTATCCAAGGGTTATTTCTGTCCCTGAAAGCTCAAATAATTTTAAATAAAATTAGTTTCTGAAACAAGAATATTTAGAGCCAAAAACAAAACAGAAGTTGTCTACACTCTTCTGTAATAAATTCCTCAGGGAAAATCTAAATGAAAAGTTTCTGATTTTTTTCTCACATTCCCTTTAAAAATCTACCTTCTACAGTCTGATTATAATAACTCTGAGGTTAATAAGCCATGTTTCTTTCCCAAACTAAATATTGATTATCAATATTTATTTTAATAAAATTTCTTATTTTGTGATAATTATAGTTTGTAAGCTCTACAAGATCATATCTATATTCTTCACTATTGTATCTCCTTCCTCCCAACACAATCTAGTACAGTTCCTGACTCCCATGAATTCAGTCTGTAGTTCATGAATGGTGAAGATTAATAACTACAGCAGATAATGTGTCAATCTCATTATAAGCACTGAACACACCCAGATCTAAATACAAGAAAAAAACACAATGCTTACCCTGAAAACAACCAATTTGGTCTGAGAGGATCTCAGGCCACTAGCTAAACAGATTTAGGCTTAGTCAATCTTTAACAGAAAATCCCTGAGCAAAGTGTGGAGAGTCCAACTTAGTATTTCACATGTGAGAAAAGTATAGGAAAGAAGAGGCAAAATATCACCTCCTCCCTCTAATGTAGATTGCAAGAAACATTAATTTGTGTGCACTAGCTAGATACCACAAGGGTAACTACTAGGTCTCCTTAAATCTTTGGTTTTCTTTTCATGTACTTCACTTCACTGGCCTAAAATGAGGCATTTAAGAGTTTGGAGAACCAGGTTACTGAGATCCATCTGAGAATTAATGGTACTTCAAAACTTCAGGGAATTCTTTCATGGGCAATGCTTTAAGGTAAAAAGTACTGAAGCAAAGTTTTAATACAACAATAGAATACTTCAGAAGCTTAGCAAGGCGATGAATACTTGGTACCATCTCTCACCTCCACAATGCTCTACAATAAAAATGCCACTTGATCTACCATGATTACATCACCAAGTACAGCAATGAAGTGAAAATGGAAAGCCTCCACCTACCAAACGATCTGCAGAAAACATGAAGTCACCTCTACTGGCTGTCCTAAAAAAATAAAAAAGTATAAGTTTTAGTCTAAATTATAGCTTCAAGGTAAAATATCACGTTATATAATATGACACTGATATTAAGACTTATTATATACTGAAAGCACAAATGCTTACAAGTACAGGCTATTACTGAGGAAAGATATTTTTTACTAGGATACAGGCATCTAAATGGGATGACTTGTTAAATATTATTAGAAATGCTTATTTGACATCAACATTAAAGATTGGACTTTAAAAGACCTTGTACTTCCCCACTGAGCTGCCTAAGCACATATTCAATCAAGGTCCCTTTGGAAGATGGCCGCAAGCCCACAGCTCAAGTTGAGAGGAAACTGCAGTAATAAAACCAGGTTTTCCCCATCTTCCTCCTCAACTCACCTTGATTTAAAACCATATTACTAAGGTAAGAAACCCATCGTCTTTGTATCTGATCCTTTTTAAAATTAGAATGATACAAACAAATACATATATTCTTTTTTTTTTTTTTGGAGAGGTTTTCACTATAGGGCGTGTGCGCTCACCAGACACAGAGAGACATAGAGACAGAAAGCGAGAAATCACCCCCCGGGGGGATGGTCATGCCTCAATCCCTTCTCCTCCATTCTCCTCTCGGGATCTTGGGCATGCACGCACACGCGCCTGGCGTGAGTTTTAAGCCACCGGGTCCAGGACGTGAACCGCGGTCGACTACGTGGAAGTCCACCAACATAGCCATTACGCTAACTGCTGGTTCCCAAATACATATACTCTTAACACCACTTTCAATAACATGTAACCAAATTTCTAAGACCTCTTTCTCAAATTATTGATAATTTATCTCCCATGCCTGTTTTTTTTTTAAAAAAAAAAAC